CCAGGGATAAAATTACTAACCTTGAGGACTGAGACCAGCAGTTTAAACCAGAACTGCCTTGGTACCAACTTTTCGAATTCATTCCTCCAGTAACAGTCTATTCTCCTGGGACTGCTGGTAGGTAGTCAGATTTTTCCTGTAGAAACCCATAGTTTGACTCAAAACAGCACATTAATTCAACTTAGAGACCATTCTATAATTTACTCCCTATTTATTTCCCAATCAAATTATGTCTAGCCTTGCTGATCAAAATAGATTATCAGAGATTTTGCAATGAAGTTAAATGATATAATTAGGATAAAAATGCAAAAAAAAAAATGCCAACAGCATAAAGATATCCTAAAATTAACTATGTTCTTATTTGCTTTATCAAAGTCCTAAGGAAAGTTAAAAATTAAACATTAAATTCCATTGAAACTCTAAGTCCAAAGAAACCAAAAACCGAAATAAAATTTTCTTGACGTCGTGAAATAAGATTTCATAATCCAGAGTATATTTCTCAATTTTTAATTCTCAACAGTCACAGCAAAATGGGTTTTTAATAATTTAGTAGAATTAAGGTTGTTTTTTTTTTTTTTTAGGAATTGCAGACTAAATTTTTAGTAATTAGAATGGGTCTATTTCCTTCAGAGTCCCATAAAACCCAAGGGAAGGTTCTGATAAGGATTTCATTAAAAACTTCAAAAGGTTAATAAGACACACACACATAAAATGTGTAGTAGAGGTACTACCTTTACTACATTTAGGGAAAAAAAAAAATCCCTAAAGCAATTATTCCAAGAAAAACTGGGTTTCTGAAACCTGATACTTAATATTAATCAAGACTATAGCGGGAATCAATAGTATTTGGTGCCAATTCATTTATATCAGTTGTCTAGAAATTATGTGAATCCTTCAGGGTTCTCTAGAGAAACAAAACAAATAAGACACATGTATGTATAAATATATAGTTAGTTCTCACTTAAAGTCATTGGTAGGTTCTGAGACTTTAAGCTGAGCAATGTACATAATGAAATGTATAGCCAATTTTACAACAGGCTAATTGATATAAATAAGAAGTTCCTATAGCATCTCATCAATATTATTAAGAAAAACATTGAGCAAAACAATGTTATTGAAGGATCTGTTTGTGTATGTATGCATGTAATATGTATAATATGTACATATAAAAATGAAATAAAAATAAATATGTATTATATATGTACATATTGATATAAACACATGTATTTATATACACAACTGCACACATACATATACATAGGAAGGGGTAATGGTGAGTATGGGTATATATGAAGAGACGTATTTAGAGAAAATTACTCACAGAATTTGGGGATATGCAAGTCCAAAATTCATAGGGCAGACTACCAGACTGGATGGATATCAGGCAAGAGTTAATATTGCTATACAGAGTCTGAAATCATTATGTGGGCAGGCTGGAAATTCGGACAATGTTTCTATGCTACAGTCTTTGAGCAGAATTTCTTCTCAGAGAAACCTAGTCTTTTTGTTCTTAGTGCTTTCAACTGATTGGAGAAGACCCATACACATTATGAAAGTAACCTCTTTTACTTAAAGTCAACTAATTAAAAATGTTAATTACATTTACACAATATATTTACAGCAACATCTAAACTGGTGTTTGACTAAACAAAGAGACTCCATTGTCTAGTTACATTGACACATAAAATTAACAACCACACCATGACTCTAAATTTAAGTTCATCTGTGAACAAACTCCTAGAAGGATGTTAGTTTTGGCTGAAGACTTGCTACATTTGAGCTGGCATTCCTCTTAGAGATATTTTTTTCTAATATATCTCCTTGGACAAGGGACACACACACACAAAATAAACAAATAGGACTACATTGAATTAAAAAGTTTTGGCACATCAAAGGAAATCGTAAAAAAATGAAGAGACAACCTACTAAATACAAGAAATTATTCTCCAATGATACACTTAGAAAATATTAATATCCAAAATTTATTAAGGACTCATACTACTCAGCATCAAAAAAATTCAATTAAAAAATGGGTATAGGACCTGAATAGACATTTCTCCAAAGAAGATATACAGATGGCCAATAGACATATGAAAATATGTTCAACATCATTAATTGTCAGAGAAACGCACATTAAAACCACAATGAGATATCATCTCACACCTGTCAGAATGGCTACCATCAAAAAATCCACAAATGACAAGTGTTGACAAGGATGTGGAGAAAGGGATCCCTAATGCACTGTTGTTAGGAATGCAGATCGGTGCAGCTACTATGGAAAACAGCATGGAGTTTCCTCAAAAAATTAAAAATAGACCTGCCTTACAAACCAGTGATTCCACTTCTGAGGATTTCTCTGAAGAAACCCAAAACACTAATTCAAAAGAGTATATGCACCCTTATGTTTATCACAGCATTATTTGCAACACCCAAGCTATGGAAATAACCAAGTGCTCACCAATAGATGAATGGATAAAAAAGTTGTGGTACACATACAAAGCGAAACACTACTCAACCATAAAAAAGAATAAAATCTTACCATTTGCAACAGCATGGACAGACCTAGAGGGTATTATTCTTAGTGAAATAACTTTTTCAGAAAAGGCAAATACCATATGACCTTACTTACATGTGGAATCTAAAGAACAAACAACAAAATTGAAATAGACTCAGATATAGAGAGAGAACTAGCGGTTGCCAGAGGGGAGGGGTTTTGGGGGACTGAGTGAAAGAAGTGAAGGGACTAAGAATCACAAGTTGGTAGTTACAAAATAGTCACAGGGAAGTAAGTAAAGGAAATAAACTCAATGATATTGCAGTAACTATGTATGATGTCAGCTGTATTACAGAAAATATCAAGGGAGGACCCTATGTAAAATATATGATTGTTTAACCACTAAGCTATATACCTAAAACAAATACAAAATAAAATTTAAAAAAAGAAAAAGTATTGCTGTATTGGAGAGAAGTGAATACCTGGAGGAATCCATCTATGCTTCTCCTTATTAAATAAAGTAGTAACCAACTAAAGTCATATCATGGGAGGAGAGTGTCCCTTGAGTTTAGTTCAGCATCAGACGAGTCCAAAGGTAGCCTTTTTACAGCTCCATCCATGGCTGTAAGAACAGAGTAAGATCTGGATTAATGGTTCTACAGCTGCCTAGATCCTGCTAAAACTTGATATCTGTAATCCCAGGGAACCCAGCTGTTTTGCAGTTTAGAAGCAGCCAGCCAGTATGGCTCTGCCTACCAGTGATTAAAAGACCTTAAGGGCTCTTTTACCTGTATGGAACTTTGCCTCAGCTACTCCAGTTGAGGAAAAGCAGGGCCTGCTAAAGAGCCTCAAGGCCACCCTTTGCTGAGGCCCTATCTCTGGTGCTGTTGCATACCTGTGCCTGTAATGAATCCTTGACTCCACTAAGGCGAAGGAGAAAATTCTGCTGGTATCAGCAAACTCTGTGGTGCAGAACCACTTGCATTCCCTGAGGTTATTCACTTAGCTGCCTTTTGGCAGCTAAACAAGAGTAAAAACCATGCTCTCCTGGCTCTAACCAAGTTCATTCTGATGGACCACACCACCTTTTCTATGACTCCATTTTAAAAGAATCACTCATGTATGGTTAAATCACAGGTAAGCTGCAGTCGTCTCCAAGGCCACTACCATTTGATTAATATAAAGCTTCTTACCAAGGCTTCATGTGTCAAGACTGGCCCACTGTGGTCTTTATTAAAGCACCAAGATCAGTAAATATCTCCCTACATACTAAAGTTTAAGGGGCAGAACCAAATGCCTTTATTATGCCAAAATGCCTTTCTCCTTGTGTATGTTTTACCAAAAAATGTTTACTTATTTTATATTTCAGTGTTCTTAGCCCAGCATGTATGGGTCCTTTGGGGACCCACTAACATTACTCTTTCTGGCCCAGCTTCAGTATGACATAAAGAAATAAAACAAATGTTTAGAGATAGAGCCAAATTATTACCATTATTATTGTGAGAGGCCAAGCTGGAAAATATAACTTCATGTTCTAGCCAAAGAGTGTTAGGAGGAATTTATCTCAACAAAGAGCATAGGCTCACTCCCAGGAGAAGAGGGAGGTGATGAGCAGAACATTTCAGTCATTCTTTTCAATTTATTTGTTAGCTAAGACACTTCACCTCTCCGGGGACAGAGTGAGCAAAGGAGAAAATAATAATTCATAATTAAAACAACCATGGCACCTTCACTTTAAGGAAATCCCAGGAGAAGCATCTTCACTACCACTGGGCAATGCTCATATGGTTACTTCCCCTCACAAACTCATCCCCAAAATCAATTTTATCATTTTGAGGTAAATGAGATGTTTTCTGGTGCTTAGCTAGAAAGCATCAGAAGCACTATTGTACTGAGAATCATGCAGTGGAGGAGAATTCTGCAGATAGAGATTTTATTATGGGTTTATCTTATTTTTCTCTTTAGTTTTATGGTATAGCTGTTAATCTTGGGAACTTTTTCTTACTTTTAAAAAAACTAATTTTGGACATTTTATTTATTTATTTCCACTTGGGTTTTCTTTTTGGAGTCTTTCTATAGTGAGATTGACTTCTTTCAAAAGTTAAATGATTGTTTATAAAGAAAATGTCTGTAAGCACTAAAGAAATAAAACCAGATAGAATATGGTGGTCTATGATCACAGAGAAATTGTTAGAAATCTAATAAGACATTCCAATGATCATTAAACTATATATTTTTAACTAAATGAAATAAACTATGGCACTTCAAAAGCTGTAGGGTACAGATAAAGAAGTTTTCAGGTGAATTATATTTAAATACACATGTTAGAAAATTAATGGTCAAAGCTTCCATCTTAAGAATTACTTGACGGGTGGGTGGATGGAGAGAGTGATGGAGTCCTAGACAACAATGACTCTGAAGTGGCTTTGATTTGCTTGAAAAGAACAGAAAAACTAAACCTTGATAAGCAACAGTAAAAACCATAAAAAACACGAGTGTTCAACTGGCAATCTTTATTCAATATTGTATTAGATGTTCTAGACAGCACAGTAGGAAATAAAGAAAAATATATAGCTCTGGCTGGTGTTGCTCAGTGGATGGAGTACAGTGGATGGAGTGGATGCAGCTGAAATGTCACCAGTTCCATTGCCTGTCAAGGCACAGGCCTGGGTTGCGGCCTAGGTTTCCATTTGGGGACATGGGAGAGGCAATGGATTGATGTTTCTCTCACACATTGATGTTTCTCTCCCTCCTTTCTCATCTCTCTGAAAATAAATAAATAAAATTTTGAGAAAAAATGTAAAGTTTGTAAAGGAAAAATTAAATGTTATTATGCATAGATGACTTGATAATATAGGTAAAAATGCTTGACCGAATTACAGAGAAATTATTAAAACAAAAACCAGTTTCATTTCTGCATATCAGCAACAAAAATTGCTAAATAAAATGTAAAGAAGACATTATTTAAAATGACAGATAGGTAAAATATGGAATAAATCTAGCAAGATCATGTAATATTTTTACACTGAAAATAAAAATTCTTATTAAATTAAAGAAATCATAAATAAAAGTGTGCTGTCATTTCTTGCACTTGTCATTTCTTGATCAATACATGTAATCCTAACACAAATAACATTGTTAAAAAATGGAAATTGATGAGCTAAAATGTATATGGAAATGCAAAAGGCCAATAACTGACAATGTTATCCTGAAGAAAAATTAAACTAGAGATGTTATACTAACAGACTCTCAGTTACATTTTAAGCTACATTAATTAAAGCAGAATGGTGATGCTGCATGAAAAGAAAAATAGAGTACAGAAAGAAACCTGCATATATATGAGCAACTGACTTATAACAAACTTGGCTGCAGTAGAGTGAGAAAAGGACTTGTTTGTGTAAATTGTACAGGGTCAACTGGGTAGCTCTATGGAGGTAATACATATCTGGAGGCTTACCGTACAAATAGATTATATATTTACATACAAAAGGTAAAAAATAAATATTTTAGAACAAAGTGGAACATGTTAATGACCTGGTAGTAAGCAAATATTTCTTACATAAGATATAAATTCTTGTTATAAAGGAAGTAACGATAAATTGACCTATATTAAGACTAGGAATATCAAGACATCATTAAAAAACCAAAACACATAAAGAATCAGGTAAAATTTTGAAATACATATAATAAAAAGACCTTATAAATAGAATATATATACATCTATATACACATGCATACAGGTACACATGTCTGCATACAAATTCACAAAGACGCATACCCCTTCAAATCAATTTTTAAAAGACGGTCAAGGCGTAGTAACATAAAGAAAATTTTGAATGGGTACTTTACAAAAATAGATATTCAAATGACCAATGAACATGAAAAGTTTCTCAGCTTCATTAGACAACAAGGAAATGTAAATTATAACCATCAAATGATACACATTCACCGAGGTGACTAAAGTGGAAATTACATAATATACTAAGTGCTGGAGAGAATGTGGGCCTGGCACTTTCATGCACTGCTAGTGTAATTGTGAATCATATAACTACTTTGGAAAACTCTTTGGTGACATGTCTTAAACCTATGCATATCATATCATCTAGTAATTTAAACTTTAGGTTGAGCTAATAAATAAATGTATCAAAAATCTGCATACCAAATATATGAAAAGAATGTTTATAATAGTAATATTTGTAATAACCAAACTGAAAACTCTTCAAATGACCAAGAACAAATAAATATTGATATAGTCCCATAATGGAATACTATATAGTAATTAAAATGAAAAAATACAACTACATACAACATGGATAAACTTCCCAATTATAGCGTTGAGTAAAAAAAAGTCAGAAAATCGAAAGAGTCCATCTGTATCATTCCATTAATATAAATTTGAAAACACAAAACCTAATATTTGGTGTTAGAAATCAGGATTGTAGGTTTTATTGTTGGAAATATTAGTTGGAAAAGGGTACAAAGGAGAAGAAGGCTCTGGTATATTGGTACTATTCTGTTTCTTATAATATGGTTGTGGTTACCCAGACATGTTTACTTGGGAAGATTTATCTGGATATTTAAGATTTGTAAACTAGTCTGTGTGTATATTATACTTCAAAATAAAAGTAAAGCTGCATTGATAAAGGAAAATTCAGGTATTGGGATAGAAGTTTTGTACCACACAAATACTGTGCCCTCACCATTAGGCTCTTTGAAAAGAATTTATTTTATATGTAATTACTTTATTATATGTTCCTACCTTTTTTTGGTTTACTCTGCTTGTTTTTTGGCTTTGTTGAAGAGACCCAGTGTGCTTTAAAACCTAGGCCCCCAAATATGTCAATAAGAATTCACGCAAAACAGCCCTGGCTGGTGTGGTTCAGTGGATTGAGCACCGGCCTGCCAACTGAAATGTCACCAGTTTGATTCCCAGTCAGAGCACATGCCCTGCCTGGGTCCCCAGGCTGGGGTGTGCAAGAGGCAACTGATCAATGTTTCTCTCCCTCACTTTCTCCTTCCATTCCCCTCTCTCTAAAAGTAAATAAATAACATCTTTTAAAAAAGGAATTAAGGAAAAACAATGTCAGAGTATAGTTTTCCCACATACTAATCAATTTAAAAATTTATCTTTTAGCAAATGGAAGGTGTAATTATCCATAAAATAAGCAAAAATGTTCTCAATGAAACTGAATCTATGCCAGTTTTTAAGCTAATAAATAGTTCACACACTGAGCCAACTGTACTGGAAAAGTCACCCATTTCTTTTTAATTAAATGGGTGCACATTTTGATAACATCCCAGAGTTAAGCTCTATATTTCACTGGACTTCCCTTTTCCTTTTAAATTGAGTTTTAAAAGTTCTATTTAATTATTATTATTATTATTATTATTATTATTATTTTGCACCTCCAAGTCTAAATTCATTCAGTGCAAAGGAAGGTCTTTTTAAGTCATTCTATTGATCTATCTATCTATCTATCTATCTATCTAATCTATTATCTCTCTATCCAGCTGGCTAGTTAGCTAGCTATCTGTATATCCACCTATCCATCTACTTGGCAGTTAGTTGTAAAACAGAATAGTTCATCTTCATCATTTGGAAAAAGCAACAGATAATATAGCCATTGAATCATCTCTGGTGTTTATATAAAATACATAATTTTGGGCACCCTGTCCCAAGCTAGCATATCAGAATCTCCAAGGAAAACCCTAAGAATCTTGTTTTTTTGACATATGCTTCCAGTAACCTCAGGAAGTTTGGTACTCATGCTAATAAAACTGGAGGGAGGAAGGGGATATAGAGGATACAGGCTGTGAGAAAATGTTTTGTTCTATCACCTCCTTTTTCTCCCATATTCAAAATGGCATGGAAAGTTTCTCCATAAGATTTATTATAGCTTGTTTTCTTCCTCCCTGAAGAGGAGAGAACAGGACAGAGTACAGTCAGTCCTCTCATCTTATGAATAGGCTACATTACAAAGAATGTCTTATTAGTTATGTATTTAGACTCTGCATTTTAACAGAGATATTTTTTTCTAATTAGTAAGTTTTCAAATCAACACTCAAAATTTACATTAACCTAGGTGAGCTTGAACTATGATATTGCCGTCTTTATTTAAACGTAACAAAAAATAATATGACACAGCTTATAGAAGGAAAACATTCACATATCTAATCTTCGCAGGTTTGCAGGCAGTGTCCCTGCAACAGTCAGTCTCTGAGGGTGGATGGAGTTCGGAACCTTAACATTGTCAGCCTGGACACCACTACCTAGGTATGTTTATGGTAGTGTTTTGAGAGATAATCTAACATCTAATATCTGAAGGAGATTATTTATATATAATTCTATATAGTGTCATATAGTGGTTAAGAATGACATTTTGGAATTAAACGGTTACATTTAAAGCCTAGTTCAAAGCTTGAGTTTCCTCTCTTTATAACAAGTATGCTAATACTTCTACAAGATTGTCTGGCATCTAATGAGTGATCAATATAAATGTTAATAATATATAAAATATAATAATTATTCCACATATATTAATTTTACATTATACAATTGACATGTATGTCAATATATTCAGAAACTGCTTTGACTCTCAGTAACTTGCAAAATATATGTATGTTTTGAAGCCAGCTAAACAGAATGGAACAAGAAATTAAAGAGCTCCCACCCTAGCTGGCGTGGCTCAGTGAATTGGGCACTGGCCTGTGAACCAATGGATTGCTGGTTCAATTGAGTCAGAGCACATTCCTGGGTAGTGGGCCAGGTCCCCAGTAGGGGGCACAGGAGAGGCAAGCACATATTAATGTTTTTCTCTCTCCTTCCCTTCTCTTCTGTAAAAATAAAATAAATAAAATCTTTAAAAAAAAAAGAAATTAAAGAGTTCCCAATAGACAAAACTGGAAAAATCTGAGCAAGAAAATAGAGTATTACAGACTTATAGACAAAAATATAAAATAAATATCCATAAGTTCTTACTGATAGAAATAAATAATTACATAAATATGTAAGTAAATAAATGGAGAATTTAAAAAATACCTCAAGCAAAATAATTCTATATAATTTCTGTTGATACTCCACCTTTTAGAAGTCAAAACTGCTTCTTGAGTGTATGCTGTAGACTGTGATTTTCTTCCAAATGTATAATATGGTAAGGAAAAAAAACAAAGGGGAACTTTGTAGTACAGAAACCTGAAAAAATACTACTACATAAGTAAATGATCAAGGTCAACATCAAAAGCAAAAAGTCATATAGTTAGTATATATCCTTAATGTGATGTCATGAGAATGGTGCTTTAACTCTATGGTCTTTTTCCCAAAAACCCATTAGCCCAGTATAATTATGAGAAAAATATCACATCAATCCTAATTGATGGTTATTTTACAAAATAGGTAACTCTATATATTTTTAAGATTTTATTTATTTATTTTTTTAGAGAGGGGAATGGAGAGAGAAAGAGGGCAAGAGAAACATCCATGTGAGAAACACCGACTGTATGTGCCCTGACCCAGGACTGAACCTACAACCTAGGCATGTGCCTGACAGGAAATTCAACCAGTGACAATTTTATTTTGTAGACAATACCCAATCAACTGGGACACATTGGTCAGGGCCAAAATAGATAACACTTCAGAAATATCAAGGTTATCAAAAACAAGGAAAGTGTGAAAAACTTTCATACCTAACAGGAAGCTAAGAAGACAAGATGATTAAATGTAATGTGGTGCTCTGAATGAGATCCTGAAACAGGAAAATAATATTATAAAATGAAGGAAATCTAAATAATGTTTGGACTTTAGTTAATAGTAATGTATCGATATTTGTTCATTAATTGCAGCAAATGTACCAAATTAATGTAAAATATTGATGATAGAAGAGACTGGGTGTGGGGTACCTGGAAACCTTCTGTACTATCATAGGGATAAGTCTATAAATCTAAAACTGTTCTAGATGAAAAGTTTATTAAAAAAAAAAAAAGCACAGTTGCTGTACTTGACTCAGAGAGGGAGGCCCATTGCGCATCACCTCTATTGTCCTATCTCTAGTCTTGTGGCAGCCTCTGGATGAACCTTTACAGACCACAGGAATTCCTTGCAGTGTGACCCATAAACCTCTGGACTTAACTCCCAATAAAACTGGATGATGAAAGTCGAAGTATAACTGAGGTCTAGTAAATGGAAAATTTATTCATTTCTCTTTTCCTCCAAGGTCTATTAATCTGTTAAAATAATAAAGTTGATTCGGTATAATCCTTTCTTGAAAAGGTCAAGTTTAATGCTAACTAATACACTGTCCTTAGAACTCCAAAGCAGTTGGTACTTTTCTCAGTGTATCTAAAAAGTTGTAAGTAAAGGTGATTGGATTATAATTATATAAGTTCTGGAAAGGAAAAGATATTGAGGATGGATTACTAAAACTGTAAAATCATACCTCTTGTCTGAATTTACTTGAATGTTCTTCATTGTGAAATAATAAAGTGTTAATAAAAATAAATCTGATTTAGACCTGGCTGGCTCAGTGGATTGAGAGCCGGCCTGTGAACCAAAGGGTTGCCTGTTTGATTCCCAGTTGGGGCACATGCCTGGGTTGTGGGCCAGGTCCCCAGTGGGAGAGCATTCAAGAGGCAACCTATGGATGTTATCTCTCACATATCAACGTTTCTCTCCCTCTTTTTCTCCCTCCCTTCCTCTATCTCTAAAACTAAATACATAATATATTTTAAAAATAAATCAGATTTAACTCATGTGATCATATGGACTGACATTAGCAATAAGTGTAAGTGGCAGATCAAATTTACCCAACTTTTGAACTGTTTATCAGGTTAAATAATTTGCTTTAAGTGAAATGTAGCATTAGTAATTAGAGATTACATATAATCTCTATTTACAAACCTTGGTAAAGTCATGTTGCTATTCTTTCAAAGGCACTACAAGCTACAATTTTAAGATCACCAGGCAATTAGAATGATGCTCTGGAATTAGAATTCTGACCTGGTCACCTGACTCCCAATACTGCTAAGTACAATTTCCCATCTCACTCAGGAGCATTTTTCAGGATAAGTATCATAGAGTGCTTAAAATAGCAGAGAACAAGGAGATATGGCTATGTTTTCACCTCTTTACTAATAGATGTTGGCATATAAGGTTGAATGCTTTGTGATACTATCTTACTTAATAGAAGAGTTATGGAGAAGGAATCTTATGTCTTAAATACACCTAACCTATTAAAAGTTCACAATACTTTTATATAATAACAGGGGATGATCAATGACAGTGAAAAACTTTCATGGAAATGTAGAATAGCAATAAAGTTTAGAATATGTACTGTAGTCATCAAAGAAATAGAACTAATGGGATATGTATACATATATACATGTATATATGTATTTTCATATATGCATGTGCACGTTTACACATGTGAAAACAGTTCAATTATTGTTGTCACGAAGCAGAGAGCAAATACAGCCAGAGAATTTTAGAATGTGGAAGAAACACAAAGCATTTACTTAGTTTTACAGATGAGAAAACTAAAATCTTATTTATTCAGTTTTCTAAAGTTTAAGCATGTCAGTAAAGGACAATCTAAGCTATTATTCCTTTGGAAGTTTTTTTGGCTCTTTTTCTTTTATCAATAATGTCAAAGATTTACAATGGGTACTTATTACCATAGTACTCTAAACAAGTTCTAACACTTGCTTTGAATGTCATGATGAAAAAAAATTTTAAGCCATACTTTGGCTTCTTAAAAAACCAACTCCTTGAATGGCTTAGTGAGGTGCCACGAATGAGGGAGTAATCACATCCTTGTCAGATATTTACTATCACTGTCCTTAAATCACATGCTATGGTTAGAAAAAAAAGAAAAGGAGATTATTATAAGTGGTGTTGTTTAAAAATTATACCAATGATTGCTGAAGAGGAGAAATAATGATAAGTTTATTGTTTTAGGAATATTAATTTGGTGGCTAGGGATAAAAACATTTCCAAAATCTGAACCACATGATTTGGGACATTAATCATGTTATCACAATAGAGACTCTGCAAGAACATGAGCTATGACTCAGGGAACAGCTTGAAACCCAGAGACAACACAGGAACAGAGAGTCCAGAATCAAGTATTCAGCAAAGGGAAATTGGGGCAGAGCTAAGAAATATGGTGTCAGTGTGCAAATTTCTTGGGCCATGCTAATAAAGAGAAAAACTTAATTGTAAGCCAAAGTATATGGAGATAAGGTAGGGTAAATACTTTCTTGGTGGTACTAGTCTAGGAAAAGGCAGGAACAGTTTACAAAAAGGTTACATTTGGCCTTTAGAGAATTTGGAAGCTCAGAGTCAGGAGCAAAACTGGGAACTGGTAAATGACACTGAAAAATCATTTTTAAAAGTATATCTGCTTCTTTAAAAACCCATTTGATTGCCCAGGTCAGGTCATGTGTCCCTGTTTCTACAAATTACATGTTGGTTCTTTTAGATTTGTAGCTTACGTCCTTTAAAAGTCTGTGCGGAACTGAAGTGTGCTTCCAGACATTTCCTTCCTATAAATGGCATCAAACTTCTCATTTTGGGCCACTGTGAAGTAATTCTTCCAGTCACCTGTAATTCCTAAAAACAAGAAGTACAAAAACATAGGAAGGGATAAAATATATCCATTATGATGGAAAAGCTAATGTATACCAAAAGAAAAGGTTTGAAAAGTTAAAGAAAAACTTTCCTTATATTTGAATATTTTAAAATGTCATTTCTGTTTTACTGGCAATTCCTCCCATCTAAAAGGTGACTTATAACTCTAAAGTCTGGCATTTATAGACATATTCTGAAAAGGGCTAATTTCTTTGTCTAAATTTATGGGCTATACAATATGTAGTTTCCTGAAAGAGATTCTTAAGTGTTTCTAATTTTCCTGCATCATAGGGTTACAACTGTACCCTGGTCAGGACATATTTTATATCATGAGTTACTGTGGAAACTATATAAAAGAGAGTTCACCTGCACAAACAAACCATAAAATAGAAAGCTGATAAGTATCAGTTCCCAGAATGCATAAATGAATATGGTATGATACTTATGGGATAGTTGTGATTTCTTGTTGGGAAACGCCCTGTCTGGTTTCACAAACTGTAACCCTGCTGACAGACTGGAGGGCCACAAGGCTGGAAATAATCAAGGAGGCCTTGGAGAAAACAGGCCCCTGAGGAGACCTGTCCCCCCTGGCAGGGGCATAGCTCCTGCCTTTCTGCTTTGCCATGTGATGATCGGTAATCCATGATGGGTAAGTTATCTCGAGCTGAGATACCAACCTAAGACAGGTATCTATTAAGTATTGGCAGCAGACAAGAAATTGGGGGACAAGGAGAAAGAGCAAAAAGGCCCGCACCCCTAGGCTCGGCTTCGACATGGCCAGAGTCCTCATTCTATCTGAAAGAAGTCTCCTTGTCTCTTGGTGGCTCCCTCCCCACCGCCTGGCTCAGGCTTCAAACAATACCAGAGTCAGTCCTAAACCAGATCTGGCAGGTTCCCAGGGAAATCAAGTCTAAAAGTAAATTCTTTAATGTGTGCTTTGTTCTTCCTTCAGAAGCTCTAGCCAGCTCAGGCTGGGAAGGAAATTTACATTATTCACAGACCCTAACCTCATACTGTTAGGCACTCTAGTGTTTACTAGGCTCTCATGTTTAGTTGTCTCTCTTGTTTACTACTAGTCTCCTCTTGGACCCATGTAAATCGGTGTGTTCCTACCATTTGTTTTCTTCAAAACATCACCCATTCTCTGTGAACATTAACATACTGATGTAATGAGACAACCTGTGCATTCCTATTACCTAACCCCACTGATAACCTTTTCAATAAAAGCCTTTGGAAAAAGGGGCTCGGAGGGCTCCTTGATGAAGACAGAAGTGCCCCCATGTCCCCTCTCCTGGCAAACAGAGAAGTGTTTGCAATGACTTGTGTTTATTCCCCGCATCTGTGACAACCCCGGGATGGGCTCTGTGGGATTCAGAACGCTGCTCCCATCTCAGCTGGCCCTGGATGTAACCCTCAGATCCCAGAGCGCCCCACTCCCCCAAAAGCACTCCGTACCCCAACACGACAATTTCTGAGTTCCCTAGGCTTATATTTTATTTGCATTTTTGGTGAGAAGAATAACATCAAACATAACATTCATGAATGATGTTTACAAAAATAAACTTTGTAATATAAATGTATTCAATATCTTAAGCTTGGATAGTTATAAATATTTATTTAAAAATAAATAATTTTTAATGTGGTGCCAATGCACTTGAAGGAAAACATTTAAATGGCAATGTTATGAAATAATCAATATTAAATATATCTTACTGAATTGCAATCTATAATAACTTGTGATGACTTGATGAAAATTTCAACTCTTTTTAATGAAAAACATCCCCTTAGGTTGTTTCCCTGGTTATTATAATTTGTTCTATGTTTACCGGATGACAGGGGGTCTTAGGGATGTTTGTGGTGGTAGTGTAAATATATTCAGGTTAGTACAACTGCAAAGATGTCATTAAAAACAGCACAGATTGAAACAATAGTCATATATAAAGTATTCCAATATCTTCTGTTTAGAGTATAAATTATATAATACATGCAAACACATTTGTGTTGTAAGAATAAGGAAAGTGTAAATTTTTTTTGATATAGTAAATGTTGGCCAAAGCCCAGATTTTTCTGTTTTGCTGCAATTTGTGACACTGGTATAAATGTAGGACATCGCCTATCCTGTAACTACCACCTTTACTATTGTGTAACTAAATTATGACATCGATTTATCCAACATAGCTTCATTCAAGACTTGAGCATGCCTGTCCCTTTAGTCACTTCATTTGGAGCCCTTTTCAGCATTCATGTACATGTAGGCCTCCTGCATTGCATTATGAGCCTCTTCAGGCAGATGCATGTGTCATTCAACCTTGCATGTTCTATGTATAGGTGTTCATGAAGAGCTTTTCCTATGTGCAAATTAATAAATGAGTATATATCCTGAAAATGTTTATTGAATGCATAAATGAGTAAATGGGTAGAGGAACCTTGAACTGTTTAAACTAATAAGACTTGCTGCTTTTTATGTATTATTTATGATCAGAAAAATATTCCAGATGCTTACATATCATTTAGCATGATCTTCTCCCAAAACTTGTGCTTTAGATGTTAGTACTTTATATTTTCAGTGATGTAAGCAGAGTTTTGGCAGATTAATTAATGTATTCAAAGTCATAAATTCAGGGGGTGGCATAATCTGGATAAATTCCAGATCACTCTGGCCACAAAGGACATATTCTTCACCACTTCTAGAGGATATGCTCTTATTTCACAAGCATGCACTCTTTTAGGCTGAAGTTACAGAAGCCCTATAATTCAGATATTGAGCTTATCTCCTCTACCTTTATACTGTAATGAGGATCATATGACAGGATCAGTTTTCATATGACAAGGGATAAAACTCTCCCGGAAGTTAGAGTCAATGATCCAGCATAATAAAAGTTTGTATTGTTTTATAAAGATTATTTTCCTGAGTCTTCCACCAGAAAATGTGTGTGTATTATTAGTCTTCTTTGTTGTAGTGCATCACTGACAATGAAAATTTTGCTTTGCCTTCTTATTCTAGAGTTTACTTTTGAAAAGTTAAAGGTAGTGTTCTTAAAAATAAAAAGAAACAGTTTTAAAACACAAGAACTATTTTCTATTTTAGTAAGTTATGAGAAAAATGTTTTACAAAAAAATGTAAAATACAACCCTTTCAAAATTAAGGATTTCCTTTCACACATTCCTATACACAATACATTCCTAGGTTTATGTGTACTTCCCCTGTGCACCAACTGAAATTCTACCCTTTCCCTTCAACTCAATAAAGAATACTGAAATCAAAGGCTGGCATTGTTAGGTGGAAGTTTTCAAATTTAAGTTAATAATTTGTTAAATGCATTATTTTTATCATTAATAAAACATTTTAATACAAATTATATACAACATGCCACAATGGAAGAAACGTATTTCAACAAAGAATGCCACATTCCTCTATTGTCATCTTCCCAACTTAAGTTTAGATTTCATGTTTCCTATAATTCAGACTGTATTTTTAGGTAACAGAAACTTCCCATAGGGTAAAAAGGAGGTTCCTTCTCTCAATGAATCCTTTTTAACAAAGTGTTTTCTAAATTATATAGGGTCTTTCAAGAATATGCTACACTTTCCTGACTGGTGTGGCTCAGTGGGTCGGCTGCCATCCTGCATGCCAAAAAAGTCACAGGTTTGATTCCCAGTCAGAGCACATGCCTGGGTTACAGGTGTATGAGAGGCAACTGATAAAAGTTTCCCTCACCCATCAATCTTTCTCTCCCTCTCTTTCTCCCTTATTTCCCCTCTCTCTAAAAATAAATAAATAAAATCTCAAAAAAAGAATATGGTACTGTACTGACACTAGTTTATCTCGAGAAGAAGGATACTTATGTCAATTTACACAAAGATTGGGCATTTATATACAGCAAATTTGGAATAACTCATACGAGAATTGATAAGACCACTCCCTTTTAGCGGGGTAGTAAATAAGAGGAGAGATATCTGTCAAATATTCAAAGTATTCTGCCAAAAGGTTTACATGCATTATTTCCTTTCGTAATTTCTAATCTGATTTGGCAACTTTTTGTGGTTAGTATTTTTAGTGCTGTTATTTTGCAGATGAGGGAAATGATGCCCAAACTGGTAATTTGGCAGAGATCACAAAGTGAATCTTCATTTCAGAATAATGTATAAGAAAGTATAAAGGGAAATTAAACTCAGAAAAATACTCACCTTTGCGCATAAAAGGGGATTTGCTGTGATCCATTACTGTACTTGGAATATGTGTATAATTCACCAGAGGGTTATCCTTCATCATTCCAAATGAGGTGTGATGGACAATCTTATCTAGGTTCTCATCATTTAAGTTTTTCTCTAGAAATGTAGCAATCTTCTTGATTTCTTTCTTTGGATTCTATTAGTAGGTAAAGACACATAGAAGAAAATGATAAAGATAATGTAAAAGACTATAATATTTATAGTTTTTCTTAAATGTTTATCCTGAATATTGAATCCATATTTGGTTGGGCACATTAACAATTTAAAAAATAATTATAAGAATGAAAAAATAATTTACGCTTAGCAAAAATAGAGTAGAAATGTTTTGTTGGTTACAAATCTTATGTTTTTAGTTTGTATTTAAAGTACAATAAGAACAAACTTTGGGCTAAATAGTAACAATATTTATCCTAAGTGTTATTTTAAGCTCAATTTGTAATCAGATTTGAATTGTGCATGTTTTAGAGAACCAAATTCTTTTTATTCTTTCCACCTCTGTTTTCTGCTTTTAATCAAAATTTTTTTCTTGTTTTTAGTAACAATATATAAAAACAAAAATAATAAATTTGTTGACAACTTCAACTATATTTGCCTTAAAGTATAAATATTAATTAAACCTTGCTTACACATGTTATTAAAAATAAACTCTAATAAGTGTGCAAAGATATTGAGACCTAAATTATTTATTAACCATTGAGGATTAAAAAGAACAAAATTTGAGAAATGGATCATTTTTCCAGATTTTAATGATATAAACAGTATTTATAACTTTTTAGGAAGCCAAACTAATATCTGCATGAATACAATAAGAAGATTTTGAAAAGGTAGTATCTAAGTTGAGTTAAATAAGATGAGTCAGAATTTATGAAGATGTTTGGTTTTTTAAGGTACTGAACAATGAATTTCCAATAATGAAAACAGTTAAAACTCTTGGAGGTATTAGTGTCTCATAGGGTGTTCAAAGGAGAAAAAAAACCCCAAAATGTTTAGAGTTAGATCTGAGGTGTTCATAGGAGTGAGAGATGCTATAAAACAAGAAAGATAAATTGGGTTTAAATCAAGAACATCCTTGGATGTCCTGTGGAAGGGTTTGGACTGTATCTGTAAAAACAAAGTGGAGCAACAGTTTTTAATAATGTGTCTTATTAACTCTGTGCATTTGTATGTCATCTATACACATATGTACTTTTTGCCAGTTCCCTAGAAGGGAGGTTATGGTAATATTTTGTGTGTGAGACCTTAATGAGAAAAGAATGAGATGTCTAATTAAAGGATGGCTATACTTACAATGAGTAAAAAGTCAGAAATCGTGATAGTAGAGAAAAAGCCAAAAGAGAACTTAGTAACACTAGGAAAACGCACAGATGGACAGGCAAATAGCAATTTCTGTTAGTGATTCAAAGTGTTTGGAGAATAATCTGGCCACAGCCAAAATATCAATGATAATGTTAATCTATGAACCAATGACAGTTCAAGCACAGAGTATTGACTTCTATTGAATTTTCCTCTGCTGCATTTCTCTTTCACCTCATTGAGAATTTATGAAGACACTCATAAACTGATGTAAATTATTGGACTTCTCTCTGAATTTTTTTCTTGATATGCAATTATACTTTTGCTCTATTGTATTAAACCTCTTTATATAACATTGTCTAAGAATGTCTGTATTGCAGTAAAAAAATATTATCTTTTAATTATGACCCATATAGGTTTGAGTGGGATTCAAAGTATCTGAATATGCTTATAAAGCTGATTAGGCCAGAGAGTAAATTAATATAAATGAGTTGATTTGAATAAGTCACTATAGCTAAATAAAGAGAAAAAGTGACATGAGAATATCAGGTGGGAGACAGCAAGTGAGTCACAGTTTGGATACCAGCCCAGCCCAAAAAAGTGTATTTCTCCATTCTGTGAAGAAAAAGGTCTATATTAAGAAGCTGAAATCGCTCTTTTCTTCAAGTTAATAAGTACTACTTATATGTCCAGGAAGAGAGAGAGATACTTGGTACAGAAGAACAATTATCTCTCTTATAAAGAATTCATAATTTAATCTGATTAATAAAAACCACTTTAGTGTTGCAGCTGTGTTGCAGCAAATTTACATCACTTGTTTCAAGCACTGGTAAGATTTAGACCATAGGTTCTCTATGGGCTGCAAATAAATACGATAGAAGGTGGGAGCCTGTGCAGAGCAGAAAAACAGATTAACACTTTAATAAAATGTGAGAAATAATCTAGGGGGTTCTCAGAAATACTTGGGACAAGGGATTTTGTACCGGGGACATGATTCCTCGTATGCAAAGTAAAATTATCACTAGAATTTTTGCTATTACTGCTTCCTCATTTATTTATTCATTTGCTCAAGCAATCAATTTATTCATACAACAATTACCATTGAGCCCTTATTTATGTGGTAGGTGTTATATTAGGTACTGCAGATGCAGTCATAATAAGGGTACATATGGTACCTTCCATCATGAATCTGAAAGTCTAAAAAAAAATCCTCATTTGTATACTCAAGCTTCTAGAACTAGAGAAAATTAGATTCAACATATTTACTGTGTGTGTGCATATTTGCTTAATTTAAGTAAAATAGCCTCAGAATAGACCTGAAAATTTGTAGTAGTATTTGAAATAATACTAGTTCATACAGGAGGCTGGATGAATGAATGCTTATGAGTCCCTGATTAAGAGGAGGTTGTAAGAAAATAAAGGAGGAAGCCACATTAGAAGGATGTAATAGACAGGGCATGTGAATCAAAGGGATGTTCAAGATATAGTTGAACTGAATCCACAATATAGAAGCTAATGAGGACAATTGACTTTCGAGCTTTGAAAACTGAAAAGACATGTAACATCATTAACCAAAAGAGAGAATAAGTGAAGGAAAAGATGACATATGGGAGAGAAAGCAGCAAGATGACATTAGTTTTGAACATGTTAAAATTGAAAGTCATTTTAATAAAAGCAAGGGTTTGAATTTAGGGTAGAAGTAAAAATAAAGTTTTTGAGGGCTCATTAGCACATAAATAGTTTTGGCAACTCTGGGCATGGAGACAAGCACCAGAAGACACCAAACAACTTAAAAAGAAAAGTGACTAAGTGATAGAGATCCCCTGGAAAACCATGAAAGTGTGATAACCTGTTAAATGAAGAAAAAAATTTTAGAAAGAAAAAGTACTCAAGATAAACACAGTGGTTAAAAAGTCTAAAAGGAATAAAATGGTCATAGCTTTCACAATTAGAAAGTCATTAATGATTGTAACAAGATTTGTGTAAACAGACGTGAAGAAAATGAAAAGCAATCCCATCATTTTGGACTCCATAGATTAGGTTGAAAATTTTTATATTAATCCTTTTGCCCCAGGATGTAGTGGAAAATTATCTAGAATGAATTTCTACCATTATACCTCTTTCATATCTTCATAATACAAGAAAAGTATCGGGTGTTCTTCTTTTTTCTTCCACCAGTTCTTAACATGATTAAACCAGGAACCATAGGCCACTGAAACCAGAGAAACAGTCTCTTTCCATAAGTATTCATAAAATTAAAGATTTGTTTCTGAATAATAAGTCAAATTGTACAAGTATTTTGTGGAATTTAATAATCAAGGGAACTGAGAATATAAAGCCAATTTAAAAATATATATAATCAAGCAAATATGAATTTATAAGCAATCATATTGACAATATGTAAAGTACAAGGAAGTATTTCAATTGAAAATACATTGATCTCCAATAAGTTATGCTTATTTTATGAAGTACTCCTATCAACTATTTATCTATGCTGTAAATATATGTATAACAAATTTTATTAGCTTAGGCAAGGTAAATAATTTTTGTTATGAGCAGAAACTGTGACTAGGTTTCAAACAACTGAAAAGAGTTTACACAATATTTTCATTAAACCAATGTTTAATACCAGGTTTATATATCAAAGGTCATAGTAAAATATTAGACACATTTAATTTTTTAAATGATATTAAAATATACTTGTTTCTGATTCGGTAAAAATAAGTGTTTAGAAAACAAAAAGTCATATCAGTAATAGTAGTATTATTTAAAATTTTTTAAAAATTGCTTATTAATGCCAAGGCCCACCTACCATTTCCAGCAATGAAATTCTCCAGATAATTTTCCCAGGTGCCAGGAAGAGGGTGCAAATTATTCATTAAGTCAAAATGGTAATATGAAACTGCAACATCCTTGGGATTTCGAGCCACATAAATCATCTGCAGGAGGGGGAGGAGGAAGAAATCAAGTAGATATTATTTTATTTAGGAAAATAAAAATTAACATACAGGCAAGAAAGCAACATATTTGAAATTCATTAATTAAAAACAGGGAAAATGTCAGAAAAATTAATCAAACAGAAAGTTGCCTCTTTTGAAAAAAATCAATGACATTGATAAACAGCTAGCAAGATTGACAACATAAAAGAGAGAAGATACAAATAAGAGTTTAAAAAGATGTCCCATATCATATGCTATCAGGAAAATGCAAATAAAACAAGACACTACTGCACAATGATTATTAAAATGACCAAAGTCCAGGACACTGATAGCGCCAAATTGTGCTGGGGATAAGAAGGAACAGGAGCTCTCATTCATTGCTGGTGGGAACGCAAAATGGCACTGCTATTTTTGAAGACACTTTGGCAGTTTTTAATTTTTTTATAAAACTGAACACACCCATACCATATGATTTAGCAATTGCACTACTTGGTATTTACCCAAAGGAGTTGAAAAATAAAGTATGCACAAAACCTGGCATATGGTTGCTTGTAGTAGCTTTATTCAGAATTGCCAAAACTTAGAAGCAACCAAGATGTCCTTCAGTAGGTGAGTGAATAAATAAGCTGTGGTACCTCCAGACTACAGAAAACTATTTAACACTAAAAAAGAAATGAGCTATCAAGCCATGAAAAGACATAGGAATCTTAAATGCATAATACTGAGTGAAAGACTACAATCTGTAAAGGCTACATATTGTATGATTTCAAGCATATGATACTCTGGAAAAGGCAAAACCATGGAGACAGATCAGTGGTTTTCAGGGTTGGGGGAAGGAGGAATGAACAGATGGAGCCTGGAGGGTCTACTGTATGATACTATACACTGTATGATATTATAATGTATGATTACACATATATATACACATTTGTCCAAACCCATAGAATATACAACACCAAGAATAAACCTTAATGTAAATTAGGGACTTTGGGTGATAATGATGTATCAATGTAGGTTCATCAATTGTAACAAATATGCCACTCTGGTGGGAGATGCTGATAATGAAGAATCTAAGCATGCGTGGGAGCAAGGAATGTACGGGAAATCACTATGACTTCCACTCAGTTTTGCTGTGAACCTAGAATTGTCTATAAATAAATGCAATTGCTGCAGGAAAAAAATAAAGTCTGTTTAAAAAAAAAAGAATAAAAAGAGACTATGTGAACAACTTTTCATTATAAAATTCAACAACTTAGAATTCTTCACACATCACAAACTAGTAAAAGTCAGCTAAAATGAAATAGATACCAACACCCTTATCTTGAGTTTTCAGAGAATGCTAGAACATCCAGGGACAGCTGGGATATAACAATAGCAATATCATGCTGAGATGAGAATTCTGTTGCTACATAACTTTGGAAAACTTTAGTATGTAGGTTTAGACTAAAATAATTGAAAGATTTTCATTGAAACATCTGAACAATTATTTACTATGTGAGTAGTCAAAGGGTATACTGTCGTTAAAAAACTGGCTATCAATCTAGAGTGTACCTTGCAGTTATTCTTCCAGAAGGTCTTCGGAAGGAGATCAATTGGTAGATGTGTCTTCACAAGCCGAGGTGATGGATTCTTCTCCAATTGTTCTATACCTGGAAAAATTTAGTTTGTTACATGGAGATATTAGAGTCTCCAAGAAGCCTGTATTTTCTCATCCAACCTTTTAAAATATTTTTGAGCAGTATATAATGCTGCTAAATTTTGAACTAATCATAGCCGTTATTTACCTGGATTCTAAGAAGCAATGTAGTATGACAGTTAAGGGCATAGGTTTTGAGGTCAGACTCTTTGAATTCAAATTCTAACTCTATCACTCACTGGGAGACATTTGAACGTATTCCAGTCTCTAGGTTTCACGTTTTTCACCTCCAAAATGAGGAGTAATAATACCAACCTCTGCACTGTGGAGTCTTATCATACCTGTGCATATTATAAATAATTATAAAAAAAGGTTTTTCTCTATGTCAAAGAGATATTAATACCTAGGAAACCTTGCATCAGCTATTATAGTATTGATGATATAGTACACGCTTGTGTGTAGCGTAAGCTGTTGTATCTGCATTTTGATTATTTCTTGTATTTGTTATATGTATACACAAACTGAAAAAGTTGTGTAACTTTTAGATATTACCTGAACTCTCCAAAGTCATACAACTAATATGTGGTAGAACTTGGTTTCACATGAAGCCTTTAGAGAAGAGATATATAAACTTCCCTGAGACAGAAAGCATCCATTTATTTTCTGTGTTTAGACTCAGGAAGATCTCACTACATAAGTGACTTGGCCAGTCTAAAGGGACCTGTGGAGTAAAGACATAATCAGAGAATTTCTGACGTAGACTAGGAAGAGCTGGACTAACCCTTTTCACTTACTGTTTTTTTAATGGATTTTAGGCCTTTAACCTAGGTGCATCTGTTAAAGACGTCTTCTCTGGTGGAGTCATGTACTGATAGAGTCACGCATAGAGTCATGACAGAGTCAGACAGATGTCATGTATTATCTCCTCTTTCAGGTTTCACATCCAGGAAATCTTAAAGTCCTATGCATATTTTTTCACAATATTACTTATATCCAGTTTAACCTCTAGATTACCTGTTAATCCTACATAATTTTCCCACCTTTTGCATATGAAGACATACTTGCCCAAAATTTTATCTGACTCACTAATTCAAAGCAATCCTATGCTTTCATTGTTTACAAAATTGTGTTGCACATGCTGAAAAACCAGTCGGAGCCTCTCTATTAAAACATCTTTTTAAAAGGTTCTATATAGTACTTATTTTTGTTTCATAGTTCATTTATCTATTTGTTTATCAGTTCCCATGTGTCTTCCTTGTTCCCACCCCCAAACACACACCCTGGAATGGGGGTCCCATAAAAGCAGAGAGGGATAGCTTTGTTTTGTTCAACAACAAATACTGTAGAGAATAGGGCATAGCACACAGTAGTATTAAGAAAAATCCCTTAATAACAATGCAGATAGGGTTGGCAAACTTAGGAAATAAAGAGGTAAAAATCCCAATTAAATTTGAATTTCAGATGAACAACAGATACCTTTGAGTAGAAGTATCCCCCATGGGGATATTCTAAGTAGAATATTTGGGTTATTTACTAAATAGAATAGCTATCTCAATTTAAAATTTAATTGGGCATCCTGAATTTCTTCAGAAAAAATTAATTATATACCTAAAAAATTCCCCAAGGTATTTCATTATGCTTCTACTGACCTAGTAGTTATAGCCTCTTTATTCAGCATATAGAAATGAGAGATTGTAATCTTCCACAACTCACTGTTCCTCAAGGCCCTGAGGTAAACTCTTATCTCCATTTCTTTGAAGAAGTTTTCCCTTCATTGTTGTTTCTCTTCCTTCCCTAAACCTCAGTGAAAAACTTCTCACCCTCTTCTGTCTTGTAACTGTTTTGCCATTGAGATCCTTTAAATGAACCCTTTATACTTATAAATATAAGTTTCACAAATATTTATTAAGTGGGCATATGTAATTACACCACAAGTATTCACATTCAGGCTCCAGAGTAAATCCGAGTGCCAGTTTATTCTCCTCTACCCAGTGAAGCTCACCTACTCATTCTCTGGCAACGCTGCACAACCTCACTAGTCCTGCCCCAAACCCACATCTCCCACCAATAATCCCTGCTCCTTTATCTGATTAATTTGAGTCTATTACTTTTTTTAGTTTCTTGTGGCTCTGGAGTCCTGACTCACTTTTGCACTCATTTTGGTTGCTTGTCCCAGAATAACCCTTTAATTCCAGGCTTTAACATTTGCTCTCTGACTCAGGCAACCATACAGAATAAATGATATCCAATTGGTCCTTCCCTGTCTATGCAAGAGGCGAGCTCCAGCAGGGCAGACAATTTGGATTCTTTCTCTTTAAATTGATAAACAACTTCACCATCGTACTTGTCCCAGGTTCCCAGCAGCCTTGAAGAGGCAGGCCTCATGACTTAGCCCCTCTCACTTGCCCACAGACATCTGATTCTCTTAGCTCACTGTTTCTTAAAAATTACAAGCCCTACATGATCTGTCCCTGTCTAGTCTGTAATTGTTTTGCATCTCACTTTTCCCATCTTTCATGGCTGTTGTTGGTTGCTGCAGTTGTTTTTAGTCCCTGGACTATACCAATATCTTTTCTGCATCTAGGTTATAACTAATACTTCACCTTCCTGAAATATGTTTTCTGTGACTATGTGTATGGTTTCAGGTCTCAGTTTAGGAGCAGTATCTCTAATTACCCAATCTAAAGTAAACTCTCTTGTTTTTCTCTTTCATGGAGCTCTATTCTTCGTATACATAAGATCAATAATATTTGCATATTATTAGTTTATTTACTTATTTAATGCCCCAAAATTACCATAAGCTCTTTGGGTTTAGGACATCAATTTACTAATCATTTTGTATCTTGTCCATAGAAGAGTATATAATTCTCTAGAAGCACTTAATAAATATTTGTGAAATGAACAATAAATTGTATTAATAATTAAATTTTATTTTTTGAGAAGCATTATACTTCTTATTTAACTACAGCAAAGTCCTAAATTAGGAGCTTATTGTTCTAATCTACCAGATTCTACACAACAAAAGTCAATAAAATACAAGAAACATTTTTTATGTCATCAACCAAATTTTTAATTGCTTCTTACAACAGAGCTCTTTCATTTTTGGTTATCAAACCCAAATATGTCATGGCCTGAAACTGTAGTTTCTCTATATGCCTTGGTATTATAGTGTTTTCAAACTTTCATTTTATGTTACTAAATTTACTCCATTTTCTTTGAGTGGAAACCAATAGTTAACATGCTATGTTAATAGTATTATGAAATTATAATTTCCAAATGGTTTAAAATTACCTGAAGTTCTTAGGCCAGGAACAGTCATCTCCAACATTGGAACTTTAACAGTTATAACATCTCGCTTACATTTTTCAACATCTCCATCATTTATAATCATGTCCACAATTTCACTTACCCAAGTGGTACCTGTGTCAAAAAGCAACATTTTTTTATAAATATCACATGAATCTGAGAGGGAAAGTACCTGTTGGAAGCCTGCCATCCTAATACATTCTATTAGAAACTTCATTCTGAAGAGTTTCCTTTTCTGTGCCCCAAATGCCCATTTTAATACACCGACTGATAGGATTATTAATTTTATTTATGATAATAATGATTTCATAGGTAGGTTGATTTTCAGAAAACAAAGATTGAAGTCAGACCTGCATTTGTCAGGCCACAAAACTCACCTGATTTGGGGTAAGTGACGATGACAATGTCATCTGGCCTGCTGTGGAACTGCTCAACCTTTTCCCAGTTGAATGTAAAAGCATAGATCATGGGACAACCATGGACCATCTTACAATTTTTTCTCAGGACATCTTCTGGGGACGTCATTTTTGTACAAGATCGTACAAATCCTTTACAGAATAATTACTGACAAACCCTGGAAAAATAAAGAGAACAAAAATCAGAAGCTGAGTAATTAAAGCTATTCTTAAGCCACAGCAACTTAACACAAAGTGACACTGGCCTCTAACACACTGAGCACACAGATATCTAAGTACAAAGGGCGTATTTCTGATTACAAAACTAGACTGCAAGGCCAGCAACTGACTTAGGGACAAGAACAAAGGTCTTTGGTGGAAGCTTTGGAAAGAAATGAAACTATCTTACGTTGAATTTAAAAAATCACATTACATAGAAATATTTTAAAAAGTGTCTGGACTTAATGTAAAAAGTATCTGGATTATTACCCATAATTACACTTTAGTTCACCTTGTTTTTCCTTATAGAAATCTGTTATCTTACCTTTTTTTCTGTACATAATGCATTTGTTTACTCTGTCTGCTTGTAAGACTGTTTTTCTCCTTATCATTGATTTTGAGCAATTGAATTACAATGTGCCATGGTGTGGTTATTTTCATGGGGTGCACATACATATGCACTTCAGATTTATCCAGCTTTTAGAAGTTGGGTTTCACAGTCATTATTTCTTTAAACATCTTTTCTGTCTCTCTCTCTTCCTCCTGAAACTCCAGGCCCCGTGAAATTGTTCACAGCTCACTAATGTCCTATTTATTTAAAAAAATCTTTTTCTCTCCTTGTCTTCTAATTGCTATGTCTCTATGTTCACTAACCTTTTCTTCTACAGTGTGTAACCTGATGTTATTCTCATCCAATGCATTTTTTTCAGGCATTGTGGTTTTCATCTCAAGAAGATCAATTTGGGAATGATTATTTCGTGAGCCCCATCCAGCATCCATGTGTCTGACAGATCCTGATCTAAATATCTATAGTCTTTTGATATAGATTGATAAGCTTTGCATGCACGCTGTATACCCCTGCACATATTGTTCTCAGTAAAAGCCATTTCAGAGAAGAGCTCAGAGCATTCTCCACTGGAGGGAATCGCCACCCCCCTTTCCTGACAGACAAATCGGGTCTGGTACAATTTCTTTCTTCATCCGTGGCAGTCAGGAAGACTCTGCAGGACAGAACCTCCTTCAGATCATAGTTTATAAGGAAATTTTTCTTTGACAAAGCAAACTTCCCCCTAACAAAAATCACAAGCTTTCCATGCTGCAAAAATGTCAAAGAATGGTATGGGTACCAAGATGAAACTAAGGCAGCTGATCTGAATACACGCTAGTCGTATCTGGGATATGGGTCTAACCAGTTCAGAAACCTAGGAAGATTAGTCCTGAATTAACATCGTTTCTTTGTGACTAGTAGAGGATGATGAGTTCATAATTACATGCAGTGATGGGTCCAGGCTGTAGGGCTGGAAAACATAAGTAATGTTTTCCATTGAACCACATATATTGGAAAATGGTTCATGATTGATGTTTACTTTTGAATATAAAGTTAGTTCATAAAAAAATCTAGTCAATCCTACCTGAAAGTAATGATTTTATGTGGTTATATATTATAACCTACATGATCCAGCAAGTCTTCTTATTTAAGTTAAGCCACAGGCTGAAAATTAATAGTCCAAAATTTGATTTTAAAACACATTAATGAAAAAACCCAAAAAAATGCACCCCTCAGAAGAAACTGAGTCATCTGACTTGAAAATTGAATTGTTTTTTTAATGAGAAAAGAATATTTCTTCTATCTGTCTCACCTTATACAAAATCCTGCTTTAGTTGGTCTACATCACACCACACGAACTGAAATAAATAAAATAAACAACATATCCAATATCCGGGAAAGTTCCTGTGTGCTTTTTTCTGTGTGGGTGAAGGGAAAATGAGTGGAGAGAAACAAGAATTGGAAGTGGGTTCTTTTTCCCTAATGAGGCCCAATGTTACGTCAGAAGATAGTCCTGGCATGCTTCAGAAAAGTCCAAATAAACTCAGAAAAGTACAAGTGATCATTGAAACCTGAGAAATTTTGTACAACATAACAATAAGTGCATTTCCTGTGGTGGGGAAAAGAAATATGGTAAAAACATTCAAATTACAAGCATGTTCAAAACTGAAATCGTTTAAAGACCACAACCCTCTGCAGATGCAAGACAAAAACTTCAAGAAAACAGATTTAAAATGCAAATTTTACCTCACAATTTAATCCCCCTTTTTGGTTTTCTCTGTCAGTGGTGCTGCTGTTGAAAGGAACCCTGGGAGCTGGCAGTAGTCCAGGAAAGGCAGGACTAGGGAGTCCTGGAAGGGAAAAAAATAAGTGACCAGATATGATTTGAATGTAGTTGTCAGTGACTTTACAGGCAGTTAAGATACGAACTACACACATACACACACACAAAGGCAAGGCTTGCTGTTTCAACATCTGGGAAAGCCAGGAAGCACTGAGAAGGAAATGGATCAGGGTGGTGGCCAGGAATGAGCAAAGTCAGAGATTGCCTTGATTTGATTGTTTCCACAAGGCTTCAAAGGACCTGAAAGGAGTGTATAGGGAAAGAACCAGAAGGGTCAGTGGGTGAAAGATTGTTGCTTCTCTGCAATGTATAAGAATGTCTTTTAATCATTTTGGCCATGGTGAAGAGAGAGGGGGTGGGGAGGGAGGGAGGGAGGGAAGGAGGGAGAGAGAGAGAGAAGGAGGGGGAGAGAAGGAGGGGGAGGGGGGAGAGAGAGAAGGAGGGGGAGGGGGGAGTTTTTGCTGGAAAGAAACATGAGCTCCCAATTTCATAGAAAGAGCCAACATATGCTAAAGATGAAATAATAGTTTTGGCAGGAGAAACAGAGGGGCTAGAGCTAATGATTTCAGAATGTATTTGCTTTCTTTAAGTCTAATCATTTCTAAAACCCCTTAGGGTTTTGTTTGTTTGTTTGTTTGTGTTCTGAGTCACAGATACATAGAGAAGGTGTGAACAAGAAGCTTGCGTGTGTAGGGGAAGAAATATGCTCCTGCTCTCCATCCCCTTACCTCAGCCACCTCAACCACCCTATAAGATTTTTATTATGCTCTAATTTCTGACATCTATCCTTTTGTTACGGACATTTATCTCAAATTTAGATACAACTTCAAGCACCAACCCTTTGCCCTGGTAATTATATCAGTGTAGGCTTGGGGAAGTCAATAAGCCCAGAAAGAAACAAGTATACTCTTTTTTATGTTTCATTTTATTTATAGATTTTTAAAGAAATTTTAAAAACATATTTGTGTTTCTAAAAGACTTTGCCTTTACCAACAGATTTCTATATATTTTTTCACCAACAAGTGTTTATTTTTTAGTTTGTGTGGAGGGTAAAAGTGTCTGTGTGAGAGAGAACACAAAGAAAAAGTATGTATATATATTTTTTTAAGATTTTATTTTATTTATTTTTAGAGAGAGGGAAAGGGAAGGAGAAAGAGAGGGAGAGAAACATCAATGAGTGGTTGCTTCCCACATGCCCCCCACCAGGGACCTGGCCAGTAACCCAGGCATGTATCTGACAGGAAATCGAACCAGTGACCCTTTGGTTCACTGGTGGGTGTTCAATCCACTGAGCCATGCCAGTCAGGGCAAATAAAAAGTATTTATATGTGCCCAGTTTAGTTGTATTTTGTGGCAGTTATGGGAAACCATAATCCTGGTATATGAATCTGAAGATCATTAAGATCCATCATATATTAACATCAATCTGGCTCTCTTTGAGGATTTTGAACATATGACTTTTCTGAGATATTCCCTAAGCTAGTTTATTTTTGGTGTGATTTTTTGACTATGTAGACTAAAGTATTTTTTTTTCTTTTGATGACACATAAAGACATTGGTTCCCACAAATCACCACCCCTTCCTGTTAACCATGCAATCAAACGACATATTCCAAAGACACAGGGGAAATACAGTTCTATCATCACCAAAAACAAAAGTCCAGAAAATTATATTTTCAGTTGGATACACGATCTGCTATTAAAAATTAACTTTTTCAGTGTTTGTTAAAAAAACCAGTTGGAATAGGCAATATAATCATGGACATCTAGAAAACATGAAATCAAGTGGAGTTTGGAGACGTGCTGTTCTATCTCAGATTCTCTTAAATAAACATATCAGTAAAATAGACAATTGTACTAGTTCAGCCACAATAAAAAAAATGAAGCTATGCAAAACAGCAGCAGGAGTACGGAAATCAGTGGAAGGAGCCTAATGGACCATAGGGTGGACTCTAGAACCAGAACCCCTGACCTTTAAATCCCAAACTTAAGTTTAACCTCTGTGCAGCCACGAAAGAAAGATGGAAGGAAGGAAGGAGGGGAGGGAGGGAGGAAAAGAAAAAGTTAAAAAAGAAAATATTAACAAAAATATTTAAAACTCACTTATCTTGGCTGAAGTCACTTTAAAAATCACCTTGTAATATAAATACATGCATCATAAAATAATAAGGAAACACCATGCTATAGTTTTAAGCCACACTGTTGGGTCAGCAAAGAGAAAGGTGTGTCAATTAGGTCAATTTGTTGTGTCAAATATATGAAGGGTAAAGGAACACTAATAAAGAAACTTTCCATACAATAATTAGGCTTTTATTAATCTTGTTTGCTTATTGGTTCTCATAAAAATGTACACTGATAAACATGTGTGTATATATTCGCTGACATAATGAAAAAATTCTGTACAGAATTACACTGTAATTGGAAATTTTCATCAAAGCAGCACGCGTACTACACCGATATCCATTGCATGGCCTGCTTCTAAGGTTGGTCTTCTCAGTGTGTTTAACAGATGTGTTTGAAAAGAAATAAGTCGTAAAAAGAATTCTATTTTTTTAACAATATAAACAGTCTTTATTGGTTGCAACAGGAAGTAGAAAAGAGGAAGGGATATGGCAACTCCCCCTTCCTGGATAGGCTCCACAGGCTGTGGCAACCCTCCAAAAGCTAAGTCCTGTTTTTTAATAAGAAAAACATTGAACGCTTACTGTACTACACTGATTTTCTTTGGTAAGATTTCTTTACTTGGATTGAAATGTCAGGGGTTTTTTTCCATGAAGAAAAATAATGTTCCAACAAAGAACAAATCTCTGAACAAATTAGTCTTTAAAAAATATACTTACTGACCTCTTATTTTTTTAAAGAATAAAATCACAAACCTCTACTTGCAATGCAAACCTAATATTTTCACAGAAAAATTGCCACAAAACAAATTAGTGGTTTGGAAGAAAATGGATTATGGAACTATGAGTTTAAGATTTAACTTACAGTATCATATAAAATAAAGAAAATGTTATCATCAACAATATTCCCTCACTAAAAAAAAATGTTTAAGATATTTCTAAAATAAATAAAAACAGATGGACGAACTTTTAGTAACATTACCAGTTTTTGAAAAGGTCTCCATCTGGTAACTATGTACTGTATTTGGCAAAATAAGTGTTTTAGGCCTTATGATTACTAAATCAGAGAAAACAATATTTTAATTTTTATACATCTATTCATAAGAGACTGGATTCTCAAAATATTGTAATGCCAAAATTTAGAAGTTAAATTGGCTGTAACTTTTAGTCATATATATTTCTCCAATGTAAATCAGTCAGATTTCTGAAATAGACTCAATGCAATGAGTCACATCCCAATTCAATAGCATTTCTCCAACTGATTGAAACAGATTGAAGATATATTTCATTTTAAAGAACTGTCTTTTAGTTTTAAAATAGATATTATATGCAGAATAAAATTTTACATAGGTTTTTAGGCAAAACATAATTTTTTAAAGAAATTTTATTACAACATAGGATATAGTTAAAAATAGTGCAGTAACATTGTACGGTCCTGGTTGGACACTGGAAATATCAGAGGGAACACTTTATAAAGTATATGATTGTCTAACCACTATGCTGTACACCTGAAACTAATACAAAATAATATTGAGTATAAACTGTAATTGAACAAAATTTTTAAATTTTATTATGAGAATAGGTGATTTAGACACTCCTCTTAAACTTTTCCTTTTCTTTCTCCCTCTTCTTGGGTCTCATTTACTTACATCTCTTATTAGAGGATCTTCAATACTGACTTTGAGAAGGGTTAATGGGAGCCTAAAGTTGTAAAGGCAAACACCTATTAACAGGGTGACTTATAATTTATTATCTACATCAGCGACTTTCAACCCTTTTCATCTCATGGCACACAAAAACTAATTACTAAAATTCTATAGCATAGCAAAAAATATTTTTTGGCAATCAGACAAAAAATTAGATATACTTTTGATTCATTCACACTGATGGCTACTGCTATGTTGGCTGTTATCATATTTTTATTTGACATTCTAAGGGAAGAGAAGGTCAGTGCCCTTGACTACATAATCAGGGATTGTATGTTTTAAAAATTCTTATGGCACACTACTATGCCAGGCATACCAGTTGAAAATCGCTGATCTAAACCAAGACACTTTGGAAATACCAAAATGCTATAAATAATTATGTGAAGATAGAAGATATAAACTAATATCCCAGACAAACTGGAAAAATAAGTCAATCATACATTCATAGCCTGTCATGAAGCAACTTGAGGTTTAAAAAAACAACATCTCAAGCAAGATAAACTAATATATGGTTTCATCCTTGCCATGGAGAAAATAAGGGCAACAAGGCAACATTTTCAGAGATCTAAATTCTTTTTTGTGAAATGTCCAAATGCGAAATGTTTAAGTACTGACAACCAACAACATGGCTCAAATAACAAACACTTGTATGGCACATGCCAAGGAATGCAATTTGCAAACTTTTGCATACATTGTTAATTTTAGATGTGCATGGGTTACCCAGAAACCACATTATCAACTGACTCAGCAAAAGCCATCAGTACATAATAATTGAAAACAACCTAAGAAAGAGATACTTATATTTTAGAATGTTTCAGAATCATTTGGAAAGCTTGATAAACACATTACTGGGCCCAACCCCTGGTGCGTCTGGTCCAGTTGGTCTAGGGTGGCGCCTCAGAATTTGCTTTTCAAACAAGCTCCCAAATAATGCTGATGCTACTTGTTTGAGGATCGTACTTTGAGAACCAGGAATGAAAGTTCACCCTTCCTTTAAAGGAGATACTAATATTCTATGTTTAATTCATTCATTAGTTTATCTATCCATTCATTATTTATTTATTCAGTCACCAAACTGATGATGTTCATTTTCCATACACTACACTAGGAAAAAAAGGAAGGCATTGTGTTTGCTTTGCTGATTTATAAATAATTACGTATTGTGGGCATTC